TGTCAGCAAATTCAGTGGCTTAAAACACAACCGTTTTATGTGCTTGTGATTCTGTGGACTATTAATTGAGGCGGGGCTTGGCTGGGTGGCCCTTCAGCCCTACATTGTGTCAGCCAAGGTCAATCACTTGGTTGAGGTCATTGACTGGAAGAACCACGAAGGCTTCACTCACGTGCCTGGTGCCTCGGTGTTTCTCCACGTAGCCTCTCTTTGGCTCTAGCCTGGGTGTCCTTGCAACTTGGGAGTCTAGGGCAAGGAGGGCTTCTCATGAGGCAGCTTCCAAAAGTGAGCATTGCCAGAGGGCCAAAGGTAGAAGCTACACATCTCTTACAGCCCGTCCTCAGAAGTTACAGAGTCACTTCCACTGCATCCTACAGACCAAAGCTCGCCACGAGGCTGGCGGAGACTCAGAGCACGGGAAGCAGACCCCACATCTCAAAGGGAGGTGAGGCCAAAAACTTACCGAGAGGCATACTTAATCCACCACAGAAACCTTTTCAGATACTTTCAGCCTACATATAACCACTTCCTGTGATGAAGAGCTCGTCACAATACAAGGGTAGTTCATTTACAGACAGCTCTGACAGAAAATATCCCAGCTCATAAACATGGACTGTCCAATGCCAGAGTCTGATCTGATGTTCCTTAATGAGCCCCTCCAGGGCCTCAAAGATGCTACCTGCATTTCTGAGGCTCCTCAAAACGCAGACATATCCATCAGGGTTACTATGTACATTAAACACATCCACATTTAGAAAATTAATTTTTAAAACACAAACAAACACATAACAATGATAACCTTCTTTGGAAATAACATCAAAGCCTGCATTTGGGTCCCTCAGTGAACCTGATGCCTGGCCACAGAGCTTTATGATCCTTCCATGAACCCCGACACAGAGCCAGCCCACAATTTATATCCGTCGATCACTGAGGTCCTCAAGAAGAACATCAACCAGAAAATCTCTGCTGGGAACTGAGCCCCAAGACCCCAGCTCCACTGAGCTACCCTCCCAGCATCTGGGACTCAGCTCACCTCTAGGGAGGAGGGAGTCCAGAGATTGGAAGAGGTGACTTTTGCTGTTGGAGACATATAAAAAGTATTGTTTTTCTTCCCCAGCAGATTTAAATAATCATATGCAAAATCCAACAATACAACCCAAATACCTCTCCACTGTGGATTAGATTTGAGTTACTATTATGGAATCATATTGTTAATTTCAATCAGTGTGATAATGATTATTGTGGCTATGACAGGAAATGTCCTTTTTCATGGAAGATCCTCGCTGAAGGATTAGGGTTTGATCAGGAGGCAGCAAACTGAGGCTCCCAGGCCAAACCTGGCTGACAAGCATTATTAAAATTCTCACTGGACCACAGCCACACCCTTTTGTTTACATATTGTCTGTGGCTGCTTTTGCGCTACGATGGTCTGTGTGAGTAGTTGTGACAGAGGCAGACCCAAAAAGCCCAAAATATTGATTATCTGGTCCTTTACAGAAAATAGTTTGCTAACCCTTGGGTTAGAGTTACTATGTCTGCCACTTTCTCTCAAATTATTCAGCAAAATGACAGCAACCAAAAAGTGCATACATGTGTGTGTGTGTGTGTGTGTGTGTGTGTGTGTGTGTGTGTGCCTGCGTGCATGGAGGGAGAAGGAAAGAGAGCGAAAATGTGGCAAAATATTAATAATTGGTAAATTTAAGTGGATAATATGTGAGTATTCACTTCATTTTTCTTTCCACTTCAACTTTGAATTTTTTTTTTAAATAAAGTGTTTTAGAGTAAATATTGCTTCACTTAAAAACTCAAAAGATGGGAATTCCCTGATGGTCCAGTGGTTAGGACTCCGTGCTCTCACTGCTGAGGGCCCAGATTCAATCCCTGGTCGGGGAACTAAGATCCCATAAGCCGTATGGTGCAGCCAAAAAAAAAAAAAACACTCAAAAGAATCTCCTAGAAAAAAATGCAACTCATAGGAAAGTTAACTAAGGAGACCAGTAACAATATAAATATATAACTAGCAATTGCAATAAGTTTAAAAATAATGAGCACAATCACAATAGCAATGAAAAATATTAAGCCTAAAGTTTAATTAGAAAAGAAATGTAGGGCACCTAAATAAAACAATAAATTTTACCAAAGTCCAAAAAATAGAAGCCCACAGGTACGTATGTCATTGAGAATGTTTAGGATTGGGTGGCCAGTGCATTTACAGGTGTTTAAAAAAAAACCTATATCAAAGACAAAAAAGAAGCTTTGAATAAAAGGAAGAACATATCACATTCCCGAACAAGATTTACTTGTTCATATTATAAAAATGTTCATCCTCCACAAATACAGCAATAGCATTGATGCAATTCCAATAAAAACCACCACGTTGCTTTTTTGATGTTGGGGGGAGGGGGATAGTGAGAAAATATTTCAAAAGTATCTCTAACAGGAAAAAATGGATGAGATTAGCAAAGGACATTTTAGAAATGAAGAGTAATGATAGACTCTGACTTTAATAGATGGTAAAATTTATGTTAAAGCTGCATATAATTAAACAATTAAATCTGGCTCAGGAATAGTCAGTCAAAGAAGAAAAATCCACGAAAAGATCCAAAAGTAAGTAAGAAGTAAGAATCGAGGCAGCAAATCTAGTGAGAGGAGAGAGGAAGGTTTACATAGTAAATGATGTTAGGATAACGGGCTAGCCATTTGGAAGAAAATAAAGTGAGAGCCATACATCATACCACACTCCAGAGTGAAGAAAAATTAAGTGCAAAGAAATGAAATAACGAAAGATATATAAAACAATGTAGATTAGTATATATATATATTTTTTTGCGGTACGCGGGCCTCTCACTGTTGTGGCCTCTCCCGTTGCGGAGCGCAGGCTCCGGATGCGCAGGCTCAGGGGCCATGGCTCACGGGCCCAGCCGCTCCACGGCATGTGGGATCCTCCCGGACCGGGGCACGAACCCGTGTCCCCTGCATCGGCAGGCGGACTCTCAACCACTGCGCCACCAGGGAAGCCCCTAG